TTTATTAATTTTTTTTTTTTATAAGAAATCTGTTTATTATATATTTGACATCAAACAATTTATATAAATGTATATATAAATTATACATGTAAAATGTGCAAGACATGAAAAATAGTTGAAATCTAATATGAAAAATATATTTATATTATAAAAATCCACAATTTATTCATTAATAACTATGTATTTTATTTTTTTTTTATCTACTTGTATTTTATCAATAAAAAATAAAATTATAGAAATATTAAAATTATTATTATTATTTGTTTTATTAATATTATATATAAAATATTATATATAAAAATATAAAAAATATAAAAAATATTATATATAATTATTATTTTTTGTTTTATTTATTAAGCTTATTTTTCAAAAATATTTTTAAAATATATAAAATCTTTTGACTCCAAATTAATAATTAACAATTAAATAGGATTATAAGTATAAACGAAAAATAATGCAATTGGAATATGAATTACAAATTGTTAACAACAAATATATGGAATACGAATCAATTATAAATCAAATGGAGCACGATATGGTACAAATTCAAAAAATATGGAATAAGGGACAGAATCAACAATCCAAAATAGACACACGTAATATTGCAACCAGTCCTACTTTACAAGAAAATAAACATGCATCAGTTCAAGCAATCGTAGATTTAAGTCCAAAGGAAATACAAACGGATCCATATACTTGTTGCTTGAACAAGAAAGAAACAAATGAAGTTGAAATTCAAACAATTTGTTTCGAAGAAAATGATTCAGAAAATCTAAAATTTAAAGAAAAAACAAAAGAATCAACAAAAAGAAATATGCAAATGGAAATGGAAGTAAATGAGAAAGAAAAATCAATTTATTCCAAAGAAAATATAGAATGCAAAGAAAAAGCAGAAAAAGAGAAAGAAGTGATGAAAGAAAATAATGATCAAGAAATTTCATTACTTCGTGAACAATTGAATGAAGCTTTGAAACTTGTTTCAGAACGATCATCTACGTTAATTAAATGTGAACTACAGATAACAGAATGCCAGGCGAAAATAGATTCGTTAAATAAGATTATAAAAAGCAAAGATCTAGAATTAATGCAGAAAAAAAAATTATTGGAAGAATACAAGCTTTCGTCTGAATTGGAAGTCACTGATTCACAATGCAATGAATATCTTGCCTTAAAGTCGACAATAAATAGCTTGCAGAAATTGCTCAGTCAAAAGGAAGAAACTATAGCTAGATATCAAAATTTATTGAAAGAAGACAGAGACGAACATAGCAAAGCTGCGGCTCGTTTGCAGGAAGAAATTAAAAATTTGCATATTCGTATTTTATCGATGGAAAGCGAAACTCAAAGAAGTCAAGAGAAACACGATAGCAGTAAAAATAATACGAAAGAAGAACCTGAAAAATTAATTGATAAAACCTTAGAAATTACATCGAAAACTGAAGATATAAAAAATATCGCAATGAGAGTGGAAGAGATTGCTAGATTACAAGAAAAAGTCTCAACTTTGGAAGCAGATCTGAATATTACTAAAGAATTGAGTAATCGTTGGCATCGGTTGGCGGAGGAAAGACTCAAACACATGGATCGTATGAGAGAACGGTAAATTATTGTGAATGATAAAATATTCAATATATTAAACTATTGTTTTTTGTTAGATTGGAAGAACAACATAAAAGTGAATTAGACATTTATCTTGGGGAATTAGCAAAATGGCAATCAGAAGCAGACATGTTGCGCAAACAGTTGTCTGAAAATCGTATGATGGTTACAAAAGGAAATATTACTTTGTTGAAGGAGATGCAGGAGAAGGATGATAAAATTCATCAGCTTAGTTATGCATATCAAGAATTACAAGTATTGTAGATCTTTAAAATATTTAGAAATTTATCAGATATTAAATATGTATCTTTTAAATATAAATATAAATATATATATATATATATATATATATATATTTTCTTTTTTTTTTTTTAAATGAAGAATGAAGTTCAGTTAATGGAATCTGCGACTCAAGCACGACAAGCAATAACTCATGGAGAATCAGCATTGAAAATACATGAAATTACGCCAACTTTGAGTACTCACGATGACACGCAGCAACAAGATACTGTGTGTCGTACAGACACTGTGAAAAAACAACTGCAATCATTAATAGAAAAGGAGAAAATGTATAAAAATGAAATATCTGACTTGAAACAACAACTTAGTCGCAGGTATTTTTGTAATGGACAAAAAATAAAATAGTAAAAATTATAATATAATCAATTCCTTATGATTTTTATAGATAGATATCTTGAGATTTGTTAAATAAAATTTAAATACAATATACATTTTTATAGAATTTTTATAGTTAATGATAAAAAAAATTAATAAATATTTTGAATTATAATAATCTAATAATTAATAATAATTATAATAATTAAAAATAATAGAATTTTTTATGCAATTTTTTTATTTTAATTTTAATATAATCCTTTCTTTTGATTTCTATAATCTAATCACAAGAAACACGATATCTTTTCACTTATTTTTATTATTATTCTTATTTCTTTAATTACTTTTTTATCTTTATTACAGATATATGGCCGTAAGAATTCAAGAAAAAAAAACCTCTCAGCGTGAAAATCAACTTGAACGTAAAGTAAAATCTCTGGAGGAAGAGCTTTATAAAGCTCGAGCACAATTAGATAAAGAGTATCTAGCTCAAGGAGCAAAGAAAGCCAAAGTATGTATATTTTATGTAATATTTTACTTATTACTCTTAAATTTTCATGCAATAATTTTAAAATCTATTATATAGACAGCAGAAGAACTTTTATTATGGGAAAAACAAAAGAAGTGGCAACAAACTGCCGAAAAATTGAAAGAGAAATTGAAAGAGAAAACAGATGAGTACGCAAAATTATTTTCGAATTATGAAAAACTTCGATCAGTAGTTTCTTGTATGGAAAGAGAAAAATGGTATTTAAAAAGCAAATTAAAAACAGAAAACAATATTATAGCTGAAAATATATCAGCTCGATCCACAATTGTTCATCAAAATATAATGCAGGAGCTTCAAAAAGAGTGTCAAACTTTGCGAGATCATATTAGAGAATTATCCAATCGATTGGAGAATGAGAATAGTGAGAAACTTTTGCTCCAAATCGAAGAGCAAAAGAGACACATCGCTGCTTTAGAAACCGTTTCTCAGGTCTGTCTGTTTATTGCTGTTTGGTTTATTTTTTAATCGTTTCTCATATTTGTCAATATTTTGTAGGGTAACAGTAATGTTATTAGTCAATTGGAGAAACTGGAAATGACTAAAGATATTTTGGAGAAAATGAATTTAAAGCTGGAAGCTGAGAACTTCGAGCTTCGTATTGAATTGGAAAAGGCAAATGCGGATACGCCTAGATTAAGGGAAAAAATTGAACATTTGGAAAAGTAGATTTCTTAAATTAAGTTTTTTATAAATTTTTTGAAAATTAACAAAATACAATTCAATGAATTGAATAGAATTTTAATTAATAATATTTTATTTTTTAAATTTTGTCATGCATATTTATTATTTATTTATTTTGAAATAAAATAAATAATTTTTTTGATAGATTAATTAACAAATCTTTAGGTAGATTAATAATAATAATAAAATCAATATTTTATTTAATAATTTATTGTTTATACAGATACATAGAGTTGTTAAAAGTAGAAAAATCATCTGATTCGACTCCAAGATCGTCGGACAAAGATTTGCGAGATCATGGTTCGAAAAAATCTATTTTGGAGATGGAAAAAACGATTTTTACTTTGAAAAGAATTATCGAGAAATTGCAGGTAGAAAATAGACGTCTCAAACTTGGGTCAAAAAGAAATCATACATATCAGGCAAGAATATAATTAATTTTTAATTCTTTAGAGCGATATTTTTTCATTTCTATTAATGATTATACGCGTATACATATTACACGTAGGATAAATTATTAAATAATCAAAGTGAAAATATATTACGAAAAAATTACGAAGAAGCACAGAAACGAATCGTGGCATTAGAAACTGATTTGCAATTAGCTGAGCAAAGAGTGGCTGCGTTAGAAAAAGTACAGAAGGAGGAGGATAACGGAGAAATAAAAATTTTAAGGGAACAATTGTGCCACAAATCTGAACTTTTAGACAAAGTGAAATATTTATTATCAAGAGTTGCCGTGAATGAGAAAACTCTTCGACAACGAGTAAATATACATTTTTATATGTATAAAAAAGAAAAATAAAAATGCTTCGAGTTAAAAAAAAAAATACAAAAGGATAATATATGAAACATAATACAAACAAATACATAATTTCAGGTACAGCAACTAGAATCAAAGCAAATATTGTCTACGATACCAGAGTGTCATGTAATATCTCCTACACCAGAATAAAAAATCGGTGAGTAGAAAGTTTATGACATTTTATCTATTCAAGATTTATATAGATATCAATAAAATATAATATGTAATATTTATATTTATTTTCTTTTCTTTTGTGTATTATATATTTTTTTTTATTTGTGATAAATCAAGAAAATTCAGAATCTTTTTTCCTTTTTTCAATGATATTAATTATTAAAGAGATATTTTGTTGACTTTTCTTTAATATCGATATATATTCATTTTCCATTTTGATATTTGTTAATATTTGTAAATACTAATAATACTAATAATACTACTACTATATATGAATAATACTTTAAATATAGACTTAAATATACTCATAATATATATTTAAATATAGACTTAAATATACTCATAGATAACAAATATGAAATTAAATAGCTTTAATTTGTTATAATCACATATTATATGTCTTCCTGAGTCAAAACTAAAAATTACAAAAGAAAAAAAAAAAACGAAAAGAAGAATTCTTTTGATATACTTGTTATTTAATAGAGAGATATTATGTTTATATATTTGTATATTCTATTTGCAAATTCAGACGCATTACTTTTGGTATGTATTATACTTAGCGTGAATAATTATTAAATAGCGAGGAACATTAAGTCGATTTTAATTTTCTAATATTCGCTATCAAGCGCTTGAAGGAATGGTTGGATCGAATCCTCATCCTCGCAGTCAGGAATAAGTTTTCCTTTATTCTTGAAACAAGAATCGGCACACTTTTGTCCAAGGAAGTATGGGCCGAACATTTTCTTGCATTGAGCGCAATTTCGGATACAGACTCCTTAGAAAATAATTCAATAATTAATTTAAATAAATAATTAAATAATTTAAATCAAAATTCAATATTTTCAAGAATCGTTATCGTAAAATATTATTTTACACATATTATTTTTATTTTGCAATTAAACTTACCTATGGCTCGTTCAAAAGGAACGCTTCCTGCAACGAACATGAATACCATTGAATAGGCTAAAAAGAGCACGAGCAAAATACGGATTGAAGTATTCATGACTGTAACAAACGTGAAATTGAAAACGTATTAATTCATCCTAAATAACAATTCTATGCCTAACAAATTTCATTTGAAAATAGGATATATCATATATTATTAATTATTTTATAATACAACTACAAAAAACGAAGAAACCAATAGAATCCACGATAATAACGAGATATAAGATTAAATATCGTGTGCATCAACTTTTATTTATATTATCTATAATATAAATGAAAAAAATGAATAAAAAAATGAAGAAAAAAAATAATTAGTTATATTTAATACAACGCGAATTCTAATGAAGATAGATATAACAGGGTATAGATTAAATATTATATTAGATAAATTGCAAAGCCTACTCTAGCCTCTGACAGGATACTCTGTTCAAAGCCAAGCGTTGATATCTCATTCACTTTTTTCGATTAATTACCGGTCTTGGACAAGTGTTCGATAAGGAGGAGGAGGAGGATAATAATAAGAAAAAGAAGGGGAATGAGACTCATGAACTTTCAGGGATAAATGCTCGAAGTTGTTGAACTAAGAGACGGTCGAATGTTACGAGTTTGAACAAACAAAAACTAGGTATCGTGTCGAGGTACGGCTGTTAATCGAAAAGGAACAAGATACTCATATCTCTTTTAATAAATCCGAATTATCCTTTCTGTTCAACAAATGGCGATACTTATCGCTCGCGAGCGATTATATCGCGTCTCTCCGATGTAAATTGTTCCGCTGTTGGTGGTCATCTCTCTTTTTTTTTCCTTTTCTTTTTCTTTTTTTTCCTTTTTTCTTTCTCTTTCTCGTTTCCCTCTTTTATCTCTCTTTCTCTCTTTCCTTCATTTATACCGTCATCTATAACCAGAATCTCCCGGATCGTACTTCCGCGTTCTCCTTAACGGTCATATTGTGAACACATAAACATAAATATGGATGGAAGGTGTCTCTTATCTCTCTGTCTTACAGCTGTATCTCCTTTTCCCCCGTCTCTGTCTTTGCAGGAAGCAGATTGAAGATTCAAGACCAAGGATCGATCGATCGATGTTAACGCACGATCGATCGTGGAAACAGCGATAATCGTGCGGATCAATGGACCAGGATATGTGCACTTCGAGTTCGTTGAGCATGGACAATACATATAACCTGGGATCGAGCATGAATCGGATCGATGGATCGGTTAGGTAAAGGATAGGGCCACGTGACTGGTATGAAATGCGTTTTCTCTCTGTTGGTATCAGAACGGTATCTTTATTTACCTGGTTACTGGCGCTTGGAACAAGCCGAGGCTGCTGGAATTGATAAAACCAGACGAATGACACTGAGCACTGTACGATGACGGCCTTATATATCCGTTGAGGCCAGATTCATCCCTCGAACGAGGGAAACCCCGCTGCCTATCTTACCTTAATTCGATTTCTTCGATTTCCCGCATTCCTCGGAATCGTGCAACTCTCCGCGACACCGGATTCGTAGAGAAATTTCGATCAATCGTTAGCCAGATTGCTTAAAGAAGATCTAACAGTATCCGGATCGTCTTTGAAACGAGACATCAACTACTATAAATATATCCATCTATCATGGGTTTTCTATTTCCAGGTATATAAAACAGGATTTGATCAAAATCAATTTTATCCTTATTTATTCCTCATTTTATTCTCGGAATATTTAACAGGCGTGACATAATAACATTGTTTGAAAAAGATCGATATGATTCGATTCAAAGATTAGCTCTCATGATTAACGTAACGCAACATCTTCATCCGTGTTTACAACGCCACGATACGCGAGATCATCTTGTTGAGATTTCAATCGATATGCCGCTATTTCCTTCTTTCTTGCGCTTCCATGTCGACTCTCGGAGATTTATATTCTAAAGACCAGAAATTTTTGTATTCGAGCATCGGCTCGTCTCCGGCTTCGATTTTTTTATCAATGTCCTCATTGAGCCGCGAGATTTGACTTTTCTTTCTCAAGATTGCCGATAATGCTTCATACATGTCTTCTTTACGGGACTTGTCCTTTCTCTTACTATCTTTTCCGATATCCTCTTGCAATTTTCTAATTACATCTTCCGTGAAATATCGGGAGAGGAATTTTTCTTCATTTTCGAATCCAGGCAAAGGATTATTTTTCTTGTCCTTTTTGAAGATAAATCTTAAAAAGTCTTCGTCGCTATTCTCTTCGTTAGAATCTTCACGATTTTTTATTTTCTTCTTTGTTTTCCTATCTTTTCCATTTTGTTTATCCTTCCTTTTATCCACTTTTGCAAAGATGGAATCGGCAAAATCGCTAGATCGATGAGATTTTGACAGATCATCGAAAGTATCTTGTACCTCAGCAGAATTCCTTTGGCCGTTCGCTTGTTCCCTGAACGCATTATCACTTTCGGATTCGTTAAAGTCGGCTGAAACTTGTTTCCCGTTCTGTCCGTACTTGGTCCGTGTCTCCTTTTCGAGCAGCTTCAACTTTTTCATTATCGGATCGTCCTTAAGAAATTCGTCTAGATCGAATGGCTTCCTGTATTCGTTTATGTCGAAAATTATGGGACCCGATTGACTTCCTGTGTCCTCCTGCGTTTCCTCCGGATCTTCCCGAGGCTCGTGATTTTCTTGGGAATTTTCTCCTGATTCTTTATCGATGTTGGAATTATTTAAATTATCCTTGTTATTTCGCGGTTCATTTAAATTTTTTAATAGTCTCCCTTCTTTATTTTCTTCGAATTTATCGCTTTTTAAACGTTCAGAAGAGTCTTTGAAATCATTCGATCTTTCTGGTTTATCTGTCGTATCTGGTTTATTTTCATTATTATTTTCATTATTTTCATTATCCAGTTTTTTTATATTTGTAAACATTTTAAAATTGATGAAATTTGAATCATTTTTTTTAATTAAATTTTGCCTTGAATTTTTTAACAACTCTTTTACGTTTTTTTCAGAGTTATCGTGATTCGTTGATATTTCTGGATTAATTAAATCAGTTTTCTCTTCTTTCATCTGACGATCTTTCTCATCCAAACTTTCTTCCCTAATATCAGAATAATCCGGTACCTCAACATATGGAATTTTGTTTGGATCATACTCTAAAATATCCGAGGATGTCGTGTTATTAACATCTTTTTGATGATCCTGTATATTGATGTAATTTTTACGATTTTGTTGTTTAATCAAGCTCTGCGATATATTCATATCTTTAATTGTTTCATTTAACATATTTTTGTTAATTTTTATATCATTAGATTCTTGTGTCTTTATGAAACGTTTTTTATCATCTTCCGTATTATTATCCGTATGATTTTTTAAATTCTTTTGCATCCCAAAATATTCATTATCATTAGAAGACACTGGTACATAACTATGCTTGTTTAATTCCTTTAATAAAGGTTTGATCGTAGTTTTCGATTGTAATGAATCAAATATGTCCAGGACGCGTTTATTCACCGTACTTTCGAAATTTACAATTATACCTTCGTCCTGAAACGTGTGGTTCTTTTGCTTTTGTTGCTCTTCGTAACTCAGGTTCGGATGACGATAGAGCCTCTTCGATAAGGGAATTTGTTCTTTGAAGCCTACGTAATTAGGTTTTTTGTCCAAGGAACGCTTCGAACGCACCATAATTTTTTTTCGGTAATCGTTTAATGCATTCACGATTTTTATCTTCTTATTTTTATTATTGTTTTTACCAGATTTTACATTTTGTAAAAATGTATTTTCAAGAACAAGATTCGAATTCTGATTTGTATAATTTGAAAAATTAGTAGAATTATTATTTATATTTTTATCAATGACGATATCATTTTTGTCTATTTTGCAATTAATCGTTGATTGTTTTTCATATTTTTTATTAATCTTCTTCGACGGTTTTTTCATCACAGTCTTTGCAGTTAAAAGCGACTTGATTCGTCTCGTAACAATTTTAGCCTGAAAATTTTGAATTTTCGTTACGTTAACGCTATTTGTTCCCTTCAAGGATAAAATAATGCAAAACAGACCTAATATTAGATAATTATCTCAAATATATATTCGTATAATATATATATATTAAATAAATATCTCAAGTACATATATATATATATATATATATATTATTTTCACCCAACATTGTGCGCCTTCAATACAGAACACAAGAAACATAGATGCTGCTTTTAACTACCTTGTAAATCATTCTCTCCCGACGTCAGTAGTAAATTTCACGTATTCGCTACAATGAAATATTTACTATGCCATTGCATAGAACATCGCCGAATTTGAAATGGATAATATCGTTTTTTTCTTTATTTTAAATTTAAAGGAAAAGGGAAAGAATTAAGAGAGAGAGAGAGAGAGATAAGAGAGAGGATAATTCACAAAATTGATGAAATTTCCATAAATGGCACTCTCGTTAATGCGATTTTATTTATGATACTTATGTACAAAATATAATTACAAAATAAAAAACTGTGGGTGTACAATGATTCAGATGATATTGTTTTTTATTTTTATCTATAATAATCGTGAAAAGGTTTTTTTTTTAATTTTTAATCTTGTTTTCTGAGTCATTGTGCACGCATATATATTAGGATGGAACAAGATACAAAGCCAAAATATATTCATGCTATTCTAATAGTGAAGAAAAGTTATCCTGTATAATCATATTTAAACTATTAAATTTCATTGATTTTATAAATGTTTTTTTAAATAATTTATTTTTCATTTTTAAATATTGTTTCTTAGTATGTAAAAATTTATCGAATAGAAAAGATTATTTACTCATTTATATATTAAAGTTTATTTTATATATTAAAATCCATAAACTTATAATATAAAATTAATCCTTATTCGGATATCCATTAATGTTCGGGTATCCATTTTATTTAATTAAAAAAATTAAAAAATTTTTAAATTCAACTCGATTATTATTTTTGAACATATTTTCTATCAATTTATATTTTAAGACAAGATTTTTATTATCAGTTTTTTCATCAGTATCAGAAATTATTAAAATAAAAAATTAAATAATGTCAAAAATTTTGGCTTATTAACATTAATTTCTTTAAAAAGAATTAAGAAAGCAAAAAGTAAAAAAAAAAAAGAAAAACAAAATTTCAAAGCTATTGTGATATTTCAAAAATTCATTTCACAGAAATTTATTTTTACACAGAAAATTTAAATCTAAAAAATTAGACTTTTCTTCTCTACTAGAGAATAGTCATATTTTAACATTTTCATTTCATTTTAGTGCATATTATAAATTGTATCTAATAATACAATAATGTTTGAAGCAATAAAAATAAATACCATTTCACCATATGCCAGATATATTCTATTATACTCTACAACATTAGGCCTTTGCTGTTATTCATATGTTAATTAAAATAAGAAAAAAGATGTAAAATTATATAGAAATTATATAGAAATTATATAAAAATGAGAAAGAAGTTATATGTCTATAATAATAAAAAAAGAGTGTTTAATAAATTATATATATATATACTCGAAAAAATCACAAGAAAATATAGTAGATGTAATATTATACAAATTAATATTTCGATACCCCAAGTTGTTTTTCTGAGACGATAATCGAATCCCTGAAAAAGTAATTGTTTATAGATGTTCCATTGACTTATATTATTTAGTATTAAGAATGCAAACATAATGTTTTTAGCATAAATTAAAATTTCAATTAAATCTATGTTCGCAATTTTGACAATGTAAATAGTATAGCTTATTATATGCTTGTTATGATATTTATTGTTAGTATTCGTTTGGTAGAAGATATGAAATACTAATTTGAATAAAATTTACTAATAGCTTTATAAAAAAAATTGATAAAATTAATTAATAATTTTCATAAAAAAATTTGTATAAAATTTGTATATATAAAATAATAATTTTACATTAAAAATTTAAATTTAAATAAAATTCAAAATAAATAGTAATTTTAAAAAAATCGATTAAAATAAATTGATAATTCTATAAAAATTCAAATAAATAATAGTTTAAAAAAAAAATTTGAATAATATTATTAATAGTTTTTTTTTTAAATAGTTAGTTTTTTTTAAAAAAATTTTATATATTTTATATATTTATATAATAGGTATAAAATTCAATTTTACGAAACCTTTACTAAACAAAGATTTAATGTAATTTCATAGATAAGCTTTTTTAGTATATATTAGCAATAAATATCATTAATTTTTTCGATATATTTATTAAATATAAAATATAAATGGACAATGTCTTAAAATGTTAAAAAGTGCATGATAGTGCGAGGATGAACAAAACAATTTATTTTTCTTCTCTTTGTATAACATTAATGACATGATAATGGATACGCATTCTAATTTAATGAACATTATAAAAAAATTATTATATAAAAAGAATTAATATATATCTTGCGAAAATTACGAAATTCAATTATAAATGTGATTTTTTTTACGAATGAATATAAAAGTTATCATCGTTTCAAAAATTCTGTTCTTTCATACGATTCATCCTCGTGTATCGATGCTCTTTATAATCGTAGTCGGTGCGCGATTACTTTCTGAATCCCAGATATGAAGCAATGCCATTAATGCTCTCAAAGAAGAGTCGTAAAACCTGCTGTCTGTTGTATTGGTTGCGCGCCTTTTCCGGTCTCGTTGGTTGTCTTGGTACATCAAGCAAGTGCTCCTCCACCAATCGCTATAGTATAATAGGTTTACATTTGTACGTGCTTGTGCATCCTTTGTAGAATATTGGTAGGGAACGTATCGAAATCTTCTCCAAAATTTGATTTTTTTTTGTCTCGTTTTCATTTTATATTAAAATATGAAATAGAATAATGTATTTTTGTTTTGCAACAATATTGTCTTTTGCACTTTTTTATTTTATATAGGGAAAAATTATATTAAGCCAATCCCATAAATAAGTAATTTTTATGTATTAAATTTGATACATTTATTATGCTAGAAATTTTATAAAAAACTAATAAAAGATTTAATAAGAAAATAATTGTAAAATGAAAATAGAAGAAAAAAAAACAGCATTATAGAATTTTATTATTATGGAATGACTTAATATTGCGATACACGAAAAGATTAGATAATGGACGTTGTTACCCATCTTGGTGCGATTTTATGGAGGGAATGAATTTTCGCTACGTGCTATTATGTACATCGTGTATGTGGTATTATGTATGAAGAATACATTAAAAATTTAATAAGAAAAATAGATAAATAAAAAAAAGAAAAATTTTGGTAAAATTAAAGAACATACTAAAAACGAATAGTAAGTAAATCAAAAGCTGTAATTTTCCATGCATAGAATATATAAAAATAATTAGACATTCAATTTTATATAAACTCAAATTGAATTATTTTTCATAATTTACATCATTGATGAAAAAAAATTAATACGAATGTATATAAATTATGTATATATATATATGTAATATATATATATAAATTATGTATATGTATATATAGAAATAAAAATTAACAGATATAATATAATATACATATTGAGCTATGTTAATCGATTAAACTTTTGGCGAATTATCTTGAAATAGTTATATTGAATCAAATAATTTTATTAAACAAATCGAAATACTAATCGTGATTCCAGCAATCATAGAATATATAAGAAGATATAAAAGAAATATTTTTGAATATTTTAAATTTTTTTAGAAGAATAAAATTTTACAAAATATATATAAATAAAATTTTTAAAAATGATTGCCTATCACGAATAAAATTGGAGTATTCGACAGGTATTCACACTTGAACTCTCTACATCTTTACTTCAAAGAGAAATTAATTTAAAAGAATTCATTTCACAATTTGTTAATCCATATAAATCGTGCATTCATTCGCAATTGATATAATTATATTGATATATATTATTACAATATAATATATTGTAATAAAATATAACACAGGCATAGCTAAATGCACTATTGTATTCATACTAAATAATTCATAAGCGATTATTAAAAGCATTCATAGAAATTGTTACAAATCGTGTTAAACGATTGTATTTACAATTTCGATGATTTAATTGAGAATTTTGCAATAAAAAGAGGTAGATCCGTTTTTGACATATTTATTTAATATACTTAAAAAAATAATTACTGTGATGTGAACTAACTGAATAAATTTGCTCATCAACATGCTCAGATTTTGAATTATTTTGCGCTACACAAGAATCCAGCAAATCTAGTTCTATTTTTTTTGCATCTAACAAATCACAAAAAACAATAATTCTAATTCATAAAGCAACATCAATTTAATAAATTGTTTTATTACTTATTATTAATAAAAAATAATTATATTTTTGAGATTTTTATACAAATCGAAATCATCTTTAAATTTGAAAAATTTATTAAAAATTAAAAAAACTTATCAATTCAATAATTATTTAATAATACTATCAATTCAATAGTATCAAACAAATTATATGGAAATATATCTTTTTTTAATTAGTTTCTTTTTTTAAAATGTTTTTTTAAATGTAAGTCAAAGCAATTATTTTATATTTTATTTTATTAGATATATATATATATCTTTTTCTAATTTTTCTAAAATTATTATAAACAAATCTATTGTCCTGCAAGATTCTCAATTTTCCTTTCATTTATTAATTACGATAATTAATGATAATAATGCACAAAGTGTCATGATTGTGCATGCATTACGCCATTCTTATTTAAAGATATGTTACAAAAATCCTGGTTAAATCATAATATGAAAGCAATTAGATTATGGCGTTTATATTCGTAAACGTCGTGAATTTCTTAAAATTAATCTTTATACATATATAAAATTATAAAAAAAATGTATAAAAAAAGACACATAAAAGAGAGACTACGTCGACATCATAATTTATAGTTTCGAATATAGATTATAATTCTAGTTTGATAAAATAAATTAATCTCTAGGAATATTCATTTAATTAAAGTCGCTAGAATGTTGTCTATTCGGATGTCTATAATTGCATCTGTGTTGCATTTGTCTGCATCTATGTCCCTAAAGCTGATTCGAAATGGAACATGCAGGTTTATCTATAATTTCCTACGCTACAATACCGTAATGTGTCTCAGAGTAAAAGGAGTGCCTAAGAGTCGTGCTTCTTGGCTCGTAACTGTTGTTCACTACATTGGTGATGGTTTTCTGGTCTAGGCGATAGATTCGCTAAATTTTTACGTCTAAAAAACAGCTTATTTATTTTCCATATGCCTGATACGTCTCTGCTATATTACTCACGTATTGAGCATGATTCGCGGTTGGGAATTCTGCCCACTTGGTTAGATCCATACTAGGCAGGACGCCGCTTCGACAGGGTACTCGTGGGTTTCTGCAAGGTGAACGATGAATTTAATTATTTCTTTAAAAGTTATTTAAAGAATCATTTATATCATTTTTTTTGTGAGAGAAATTTTAGTAATTCATTGATTTTTACGTAGATTCATAAATTTAGAAATAAGATCAAAAAAATAGAAACTAATTTCAAATTTGTCTTATTTTATAAATATTCTGTCTTCTTCTCTCTATATTAATATACATATATATATATATTAAAATATATTTTCAGTATATATATTTAGAAATTAAATCATTTTCATTATATTTTCATTTTTCTTGTCTTTGTTGAACAAAATAATTTAAAAAATTTAAATTTTAGATTCTTACGAAATATATAGTTTTTTATTTTTATTTAAAAAATTAAAGAGCTTATAGAATTAAAAAATTTCAATATATCATAGAAAATAAAAAATTATTAAATAGGATATTTTAATTAAAATTATGAGTAACGTAATGAGATTTTTATATTAATATTATAAAATTAATGATAATCATTGTAACTTTTAATTAATTTTTTTAATTATGTAATATTTAAATATACTTATTATTATTATAACAAAATATATAATATAATATAAAACATAGTACATAATATATAATAATACCGTGAAATTAATGTGAAACAATACTTTTCGGAACAGAATAATTATTATACATATATTATTATATGTAATAAAATCATAATCATCATACAATAATTTATATTATTATATATATATCTTATATATAATAATATAATAAAATAAGATAATAATAATATATCAAATAATATAATTACAATAACAATAAAATAATATCAAATAATAATAATATCACAAATAATATCATAATCATAAAAATAATAAGAATAAAAATTTCATAATAAATCTAAGATTTCCTCTCATAGATGTGTTACGAGAGAAATATTCATATTACATAACAAAATTGAGTGTTACTTTCATTTTCTATTTTCTTTATACACTTTTACTAATTCACGATGTAATTTATTAATTATATCATTTGAATTGATCTAAATTTTCAAAATAATAATCAAAAATTTATTATAAACTTTATTATTAACTTTATATATATTTATTCGATTTCATAACATTTTACTTACATTTCATGATCGGGTAATACCATGGGATAAATCTGTATAGTGTCGATCAAATCCGTGTTGTCGCAGATCACTCTAGCGAGTTTTATTTTTCGGATCTCATTCAATTGATCTAAAAAAAATATAAAAACATGATTAATTTTAATCTCATTTCATTAATTTTCTCTAATTAATCTTTTTTCCAATTTTTTTTTTTAAATCGTAATTCACTTTACTATCTTGTTTCTCAAATTTATAAAAATTTGAAAATTAATATTAGAATTAATAATATTAAAATGTATTCACATATTAGAAATATTCTATTATGTAATTATTAATTATTAATTAATTATTTTAAAAATAATTTCATTTAAATAATTCTATTTGAGAATATTCACAGGTTAGAAATCGATTTCTCTAAAATGTATAAATTTCAATATGTTCGATATTTAGGATTGAAAAAATTTTTTACCGAGAGTGAAGGACGATGGCTGGTTCGGCAACTCATACCAAAATCGGTCGCCTCGACGGGAATAACTGAATTGCGTGGCGATTATACAGGCGAAGGTTGGCCCGAGCATGCTACCCGGAAGTGGTCTCTCAGATACACCACCGGACCAGAGATCGACGTCAGCTGGATGCCTGAAGATCAATATACGCACCGTTATTTCCGGGAATTTCGTATTCAATTTCTAGAAATGATGATTACGAACCTATTTCGAAAGTGATTCACGATTATAGAAAAATATAGTTTAAAATTAGCATCGGAAATATCGATGAATTTATAATATTTCTTCTGACAAGTTTTGTGTTCGTTGAAAATGATTTATTGTTGAGATATTTGGAATTTTTCTTAGATTTTAAAAATAATCCGAAATGGAAGATTAATACTTACTCAAAAATCGAGCTATAGCGTCTGATTGTCTCATTTGGCATAGAACCGTGTAACTCGTCAAAAGTGTCTACCCAAGGAAGTCCACAGAATTTTCTGAAAAAAGACAGATTGAATTATCGAAAGATTGTCAAAAAATAATAAGACGGCTTAGTGAATTACTTTCATTTTTTTTTATTTTTTTTTTAAATAATGTGGATTTCTATGAATTATTATCGTTTCTATGAATCTTTTTAATAAGTTTACATATATGATACGATATAGAATATTATGTATACAAATTAGAAATTATATATAAAATAAGAATTGTTAAAAAATAATAAAATGAACTTTTGTAAATTATATTTATTTTTTAAAATCATCTTTTTTAATATAAAAATTAATATAAAATTTAGAATATAATTTATACAAAATTATATAAAAATTAAAAATTTTTTAAGTGAAATTTTAATAAACTGTAATTAAAAAATTTAATAAATTTTAGTTAATAAATTTTAAAAAATAAAATTTTAATGATAAAATGAAATCTTCTTTTGCAAATTAATACAATTTGAATATTTTATATATATTTTGTATAAATCTTCTAAATTAATAATTATGAAACTTCATAGATATACAAGATGTTAATATATGAAATATTTTTAAAGAATCGATTCTAAAAGTCAAAACAAATATTAAAATACATATGTATATTTTTTTATTAGATTATAAACAATTTAAGTTTTTGTTAATTGAAGCGGAATAAAAGACGGAAATAAAATTATCATATCATACCATTGTTTTATTTTATCTCTATTTTGTTTTATTTAACTCACAAAAACTTAAATTGGTTACAACTTAATAAATAAATCTGAATTGATATTTTTTATTTTGATATTATATCAATTTTTATGTTTGTTTTTTCTAACTTTTGTCTTTAGAATTGATTTTCCTATGAATATATTAAATGCTACTTATAGATAATTTTTATATATTAAAGATTGTTAAAAAGGATAATAAATTGATATTCTTCCTGAATTATATTTCAATTTTTTCTAAAGTCACTTTTATAAATTTATATAATATAAATATCTCAAATACCAACCTGAATTCCATATAACTTGGAATACCAAATTCACGTCCTCGTTGCATATTAAATGAAACCAGATCCAATCCAAACTTAGCTCCAACTTTTTTAAATAAATGATTTGTCACCTGAAATCAATATAAATTAAATATTCTCTGTTTTTTTTTTTATTACATTCGATATTTATTTCAGAGAATAGTTTCATACTTCTTGCGTAATAGAATCGTCCATAGCTTGAGCAACTTGATTCATCAATCCCATAATATATTCGTCGAAAACTCCAGCACGATATAAATCAAATGGTCTTCTAATCAAATCTGATAGTCTCTTCGAAGCTTCAAAGAAATAATATAAAAAATGAATATATAATTTTTAAGAAAATTTTATATTTAATCTTTTGATGAAATACTGGCTTCTGACTCACCAATAAATTTATGAGCTTTACTCCACCTTTCTACTGCCGTTGGCAATAATGAGTGTCCGAATCTGAAGGCTGCAGAGGCAAAAGCATCAATCACAGATGGATTCACGCTTTCGTCGTAACCATCCCAATAGCTCTGTAAATTAAATATAATATTTATGAATATTACATTTCATTATATAGATGAAGGAAGCAAAAATCATTAATTTAAATCTAATTAGTCAGGTTTCGTGTTAAAATAATTAAATAATCAATAGTGATCAATTCTGGATACGAGGATATTAATACTTTAATATATTTTTATTATAATAATATTATAAATAATTCAAAGAAAGCAACTTAGAAAATAATTATTTTTTTATTATAAAAAATTTCTTATTAGAAAATTGTTATCAAATACAGAAAGTATTATTCTCATCTTTTTATTGTTAAAAAACAAAATTGAAATTAAAATGAATAAAAAACAGTTAAATTGTGTTACTTATAATACAAAATTTTTATAACTATCATTAACAGTTTATTCAAGATTCATTGTGATTAAGAAAATATATCGAAATTATTTGTCTACATTTCGTAAAAAAAAAAAAAAAATTATACTTTATAACATTAAGAGTAATTAAATACTTATAGAATATTTCTAATATATAATATCTATTGTCTAATATATAATTTTTCATATAACAAATAATTTTTCTAAAAATAAAATAATAAATATTTGTTAAAAATAATCTTTAAATTATTTTTTCTTCTTCAAATATATAATTTTTCATAAAATATACCAAATACTTAATATAATCTAATGTTTAATATTTTTATAATATGTATTCCATAAAGAATTTATAATAACTAATAAATAAAACTAGTAAATAAAAATATTCAATATGTTACATTTTTTTCAAGGAGAAGTCCAAATTTTTCCATGACATCTTTGCCAAGTAAAATGGGTAGAAATTCATTATAAGTGATATGTTGAATTTCAGCAATAACGATTCTTCTTGCTTCTTGATACAGCGTTTCATCGTCCCAATGAGGATTTATTTGAATTAACGTCTTTGCAATTCGATTATGCTCACGTGCCATTAAAGTGTGCATGCAGGTTAATACTAGCTGTTCGTTCACTCTTATCTCACCTGTCAAAAAGTAACGATATGTTTAAGAATGTAATCGTAATACGTTTAAAAATGTATAATTTTTTTCGCTGGAAAATAGAATAACCGCATTCTGTCATTCATAAATATCTATTTGAAGAAATCTTTATCCTCATATTTTTTTAATTTCTGCATTTAAATTTAATGGATATATATTAAAATTATTTCCAACATTATTTCTATGTTTTTATTTTTATAAATTTGATATATTTTCTTAGTGAAAAGTTATTATAAAATCTATTATAAAATATTTTTATTTGTATGCTATTACATGTTAATTAAAATTTTGATGCTATTTAAAAAAAATTTTAAATTTAAAACTTATTATTAGAATATATTTTCATTATTTAATAACATATTTAATAGAAATTGCAATTTTTTAATATTTTTTTACTAAATTTTAATTAAAGATTTTTGTGTCATTTATTTATTATTCTAATTACTAAAAATCATATTTTATTTCGGAGTTGCAATTATAAGCGGCTGTATCCATATTATTATACATTATTATTCATTTATTTGAGTATAATTATAAAAAAATTTTAAATTTAAAATTAGTCATCATTAAATCTAAATTGTGCGAAAATATATAAATATAAATTTCTTTAAAAATACCATTATGCAAAACAAAAAAAAAATCTAAATATAATATAACTAATTTAATTTGTAGTCAATGTTAAAATCCATATTATTTTTCAAAAAAAATTTTTATTTAAGAAAAATAAAAAATAAGACAAAAAGATTAAGAATTAAATTATTTTAATTTTAATCTTTAATTCTAAACTTTATTTTCAATTCTAATTTAAAAAGCTCTTGCGTTCGATATAGATAAATAAAAAAATTTTCAAATTTGCATGCTTGACGATGTATACATCATTATATTTTCAATATTAAAAATTAAAAATATAATCATAAAATTATTATAAACATAAATTCTGTAATAAGCATTTAGATTATATGTTTAAAATAATCATTATTTTCATTTATGATATTCATTTTTGATTATATTGATTTTAACTAATTAATAATTTTTTTTTTCAAAAATTTCTGAGAGTCTAAAAGAAAAAATGTTAAAAATTCTTTCTCGGAAGTTTTTAAAAAATTTTTATAATTCCTTATTTTTCATTCTGAAGGAATTATAATATTTTTTTCCATTACGCTATTTCAAAAGGAAAATTATTATATATCTCTTATTTATTATCATTTGTTTTAATCATTTATTTATTATTTATTATTATTCATTAAATTTTATTTATTTATTTATTATTCATTAAATTTGTTTAAATCATTTCCTCAAAACAAAATAAAAAGCAAATTGATTGATAATATACTAAATATATTATATTTTTCAAGATTGTTTTTAAAACTATTTTAAAATAAAAAAAAAATAATGATTGTAAAAGTTGAAAATAATAATATTTAATATAATATTCAAATAAATTTATCGATTACATTTAATATTTCTATTCTCCATTTTGAATGTATATGAATTAGATAAAAATCATTTAACTAATTATTTAAATTAAATTTTCTTATGTCTTTAATAAATATTATTAACAATGTAATAAAAATATTATCAACAATTATATTCTAAAAATATAAATTTTATATTTTTAAATTTTTTCGAAAAATATCTATTGATTTATCATTTTTTGAGAGATACAAAATGCAGACAAATCAGAAATATTAACCTTAACAAAATGCAAATTCAAAGCAATCGAATGCACTGAAAGTGCTTCGATCATTGATATCGACTTTACGAATGGAGCCGTCGACCTTGATTTGAGACCACTCCCTTTCTCGGTTACACATCGATAATCGAACAGCCACCAACGCGACAGCGTTTCATAGGAATTTCGACATTACTGTCATCGATTACTGCCTTGTATTCTAGATAATAGCATTATCTAGAATATCATTTTGCCTTTCAGCGATATATTCTCTTGATAATTAATCATGTTTTTTGAACAATTTCGATTGTGTTTGAAATTAATCAACTTTTTTTTGTTATATTGGTTGTGCAATCAATTGCATTTTTTTATTGAATTATTAAATATTGATAATTTAATGCAGAACTTCTCCGATTAATTATATATATGTATTATGATTCTTTTGCATTCTTTTAAATAAATTAAATATTATAAAAATTTTTATTTTTTGGAAATCGTTCGTTTAATTTTTTTTTAACATCGAAAATTTTTTAAAAATCTTTATTTTATCATTATGAATTAAAAAACTTCAAAAAATATTAAATTTTTATTTATTTTTACAAAATAATATTTATAATTTATTAAAATTTGACTACAACAAATTTATCTAGAATGTAACATAATGTAATGTAAATTTAACATAACTTAATTTGATAAATTTTAAATATTAAAGAAATTAAAAGGAGAAAAAAAATAGTATATTTTTTATTTATTTTTATTTATTTTTTCGATTTTAATGAAATAATTATTAATTATATATTAATTTGATTTTCCCGATGAAATTTTTTAATAATGAAAAGTTTTCAAAAAATAATATGTTGTTGTCAAAATTGAAATAATGAATTAAATATTTATCATTTCTTGTATTAAAAAATTTATATTTAGTGTAATACTCTTAATACTTAATAATATTAATAAAAATTAATAAGTAGATAATTAAATATTGAGAATTTCAATGAATGGTGAATTGAATTCTCAATATTTTGTAAATATAAAAAAAAAAATAAATAAATAAATAAAATAAAATAAGATCAAATAAAGATCTAAAATATATTATATTTGTTTCATTAAAATATTTTAATTAAACAATAATTATTTTTATTATATTGTTAAATATTATTGTTGAATAGTACTTTGTTGTAATGAATAATTCTTTTTTTGATGTAATTAAAAGCAATATTTTTAATTTTTAATTGTATACTTAGATGATAAAAAATATAAAATATTTTTTATTCCATAAAAAAAAAGGAATAAAATTTTAAATGTCAACACGAATGGACTTATGGCTTGATCTAATAAAATAAATACTAATATATGTAAATAATACTAATATATATAAAATCGATGTACGTCCCGATATACAATATTTAACATTGATATAAATATTAATTATTATTGATATATATACATATATATCAATATATACATATATATGAAGTAAGCATAATATTTTGACTTATATTATTTACTTATTAAACTTTATATCTTTAAAATTATTTTAACTAATATTTTGCTTAAAATCAAATCATTTATAAAATTACTAAAATTATGAAGTTTTGAATGAATATAATATAATTGATATAACTAATTTTTATGAATTTTGTAAGATTTTTTTAAAAAAAAAGAATAATTAAATAGATAATTATAATATTGAATTTTTACATGAATAAATAAGTTATAGAATCTTTATAAAAATTTTCATAAAAATTGAAAATGATATTATACATCTTAAAAAAATTCATTTAAATCCAAAGTTCTGATTTTGATAAAAGTTTATGTGTATATAATAAATAGCACAATAGATTATATAGAGCAACTTTATTATCTACTTTTTTTGAAAAAATAAAATAAAAGTTAAGCTTTTTTTCATATATTTTTAATATAATTTTAAATAATTTTGGAAATATTTTTTTATAACGAAATGATAAGACATTAAAAAATTTTGTTCCATTTCGTATTATTAATATATATGTTATATGTAAGTTATATGTAATATAAAAAAATAAAAAAGTAGAAACATTTTAAAAGCTGATTTTATCTTTTTGAAATAATATTTGTTAATAAAATAATTGTTTTATATATATATTCATAAAGTTTTTCAAAAGAGAATTATTATTGATCTTAATAACATAACTTTGCATAAGATTAGAAAGATTTCTTGTCTATTTAAAACTAATAAATCATCCATTTGCAAGTAAATTATGATCTATTTTATGATTCATCAATATATATAGTGAGGAAATGATTCTTTTTATTAAAATCGATTATGCAAATGATCATTTATAATCAGTCTTTAAATTAATTATGGAAATTAATCAATTAATTAATTAATATAAAATAATTAATTAATTATGAAAATTAATTATTCAATGGAAATTACTCAATGGAAAAATTAATAGAAATTTAATACATTGCAACACAATTGTTTTGTTTATATATATATAAATAAGCTTAACATAGTTGTGATTTTTTGTCTGGTTGAGTTTAATGTAATGAAAATTATTTTTCAGATTATTAAACAGAGCAAAAGTATGATAAAATCGATGAATTATTTTTTTTTTTTTTCGGCATACAATGCTAGCAAGTTTCGATTCCGAAATAATGACAAATTAGATAAATTATTTGTAAGTTGAATTGAATTGTCATATGAATAATCATGAATTGCATTATTGATGTAAAACAACATAATAACATAAACGCAGAAAAAAGAAAAGAATGTTTTTTAATATTCATTTATTAATTAATATGATGAAATGTTGATATTAATTTAATATGTTAATATTGAAAATCGAATTTAAAAAATTATTGTAATTATTTAGTTTATCTTTTTTTATAATGGTTTAACTATTCATATCTAATCATTTATGTATTGTCTAATATTGTTTAATTTTAATTTAATGCTTTAAATAATATAAAATTTTAAAATTTGTGATACAAGAGAAATAATATGAGATTAACAAAGAATATAGACTACTATTGCAAGCGGATAATGTTTTTGAGAGAAATATTTAGAAGATTCTTGAGATTGTTTTTTAGAAATATTTCGTTGTGGCTGAACGTAATATTGAATTTGAAATGATATTTTTCAGTTATACCAATCTCAATAACAATCAGCATCATCTTATATTCGTGAATCAATTTTTTTGCAAATATTGAATTTTGCGAACAACATAATCTAATTCTAAGAATTTTTTTAGATTGAAAATATTGCAGAAGACTGATTCGTGGTATCATTGGCCGTTTACATATCCCAACGAAAATTCCTGATTTTCCAAAATGAACGTGAAAGAAATTTCAGAGAACATAAATATTTATAAAAATCGACAAAAAATTAAAACAATTCTAATCTTTCAATTATTAAAACATTTTTAATTATAGAACAAGTTTAATCTTTGAATTAGAATGATTTAAATTATTGAAATATTGAAATTAATTGATTTGGAAAAAACGATCAATCTTTTCGAACTCCGAATTATATAGGACTCTTACAACTTGTGTGAATAATTTTCGATAATAATGGGATTATTTGTTGCATTTATAGTAATTAGAAAGAAATTAAAAAAAAAAGCAATTACAAACAAATATTTTCGATATGAAATCTTCAATATAAATGATTTTATGAAAAAAAAATTTAATTTTGAATGATGTTAACATATTCAATCTCAAAAACAAAATCTTTAATGTAATTTTATTATATTTTATTTTTATTTTATTTTGAATCATAATTATGAATTTATATATTTATATTTATAAATATATCCTGAATTAATGAAATTCCACATTTTTAAATGTTTAAATTTAAATTTTTTTTTAAAGATGAGTTTATAAATTAATTATCAATTCTTTTTTATCAATTCTTCTTTATTAATTTCAATGATTTTCATATATATACATATATATATATATATATGTTGTAAAAATAATAAAAATTAAATAACTTTTTTTTCTTATTTTTTTATAATTATTATTTTTCAAAATATTTACTATATTGAATTTCGTATATTGCACTTATTGCACTTATCAATCGATAAAATCATCAATAAGTTGTCAAATAAGTATAGATTTGTATCTAGATTTGAGCCTTGAAAAGCTTATCAATATTTCCTATCGATTAATATCAATCGATAAATATTAAAAGAAATCGTATCAAAAACACTAAAGATGCAACATTTACAAGTTTAATTTCAATTGCCATTAAATCTTGAAATTAACTGATAACACTTTTTTTTCCCTAAAATTTCATTTTTGGCAATTTTTGATTAAATTTAATGAATGAAATGAAATTCAGTAATTGACATTCTATGAAAATTTTTAAATTCGCTGTTTTTATCGACTAATTTTTCGACTAATATTGGTCGGTAGAAAATATTAATCGATTTTTCAAAGCTCAAAATACAAATCTATACTTGTATATTGATTTGTTTGAACTTATTTGAACTTGTTGATAATTTTATCGATTGATAAGTGCAGTAAAATTCAATGTAGTAACAATTTTTTGTAAATATCTTAAAAAATAATAATTATAAAAGAATTTAACATTTTCGTGAAAAAAAAGGTATTTAATTTTTATTATTTCTACAACATATATATATGTTATATATATATATATATATAAATATAAATCTTTGAAATTGATACAGTAATAATTAATCTACAAATTCACCTTTAAAAAAAAAGTTAAATTTAAATATTTAAAAATATGTGAAACTTAATTAATTCAAAATATATTTATAAATATCAATATAATAAATTCAAAATGATTCAATATGATTCAATTCAAAATAATTATGATTTAAAATAAAGTGAGAATAAAAAATAATAAAATTGCATTAAAATTTTTTTTTAAATTTTACAGATAAATAAAACTGATTAAATAATCATATATATATATATATATATATATATATATATATATATATATATAGTAAAGAGCAAAAATAATTGAAAATTTTGTAAATTTTTATTTTTTATCATTGTTCGCGAGCACTTATTGTTTATAATTATTGCTTATAAATCGCGAGATATTATAAACGGGTAATTCGAAAAAATTTCTCGTATGGAAACTTTTTTCTATTATTATCGGTTGTCTTCATTATGTTTAAACAAAGAATGGTATTATCTGAGAAGATTGCCGTTTTTGAAAAGACATTTAATCGACACTTATAATTTATGATATGTTTCAGTCTGATTAGAGCGGAGCCCAATCTTAAGAGTGAGACACATTTCAAATATGACTGACTCAACAGCACTGAACATCATTCTAATTCAAGGAATTTTTCTCTAATTTGGAAGTGTCGCGAATCGGGCATTGACCGCAATATTGGTTATTATCGTGCCGGGAAACTGTAAATTTTCCAATTAAACTAGGAAGAGATTCTCTGAGGCTACGAATCTTGCTTAAAAGTTTAAGAGTTTTATTGTGAATTGTGAAGTCGTATTTTGACTGCTGAATATGAAATAGATAATTTCTTTGTAATTACTCATCATCGTGTTCTGATCGTCGAACACAATTATCCAGTGACATTGCAAGAAACCCAGCTCTCATATAAACACATATAGCACTTATAACCGCACTAAAATAGTCCACTCGTCGTGAAAAAAATACATTAATAGTCACAAGCATCAGCTTCTACATACACACGTATATATCTGTTAAAAGAACATTCAACATATGCGACGTCATATACATGTATGCGACAATCTATTTATCACTACAATACTACTACTACAGGCGCAACAATTGTAAATAATAATTAGAGAAAATAAAGATCACAATAACATTTTATATAGTTTAAATTAACATAAACAATTTTGTAGAGTTTTCAATTTTTTTTTTGTTTATAACAAAGAATATTTATTGATTGGTTTTGCACAGTATTTTTAATAAAAAATTTTTTTCATTTTAAAATATTTTTAATATTATGTCCAAAGTCTTTAGTTTTTCGAAATAATTTAAGATAACATATTTTCGATATATTTTCAACTAATTTCCTGCAATAATCGGAATGAATATTATAATATATTTTTTCAATTCTCTTTTATAATTCATTAATGAATGATGATTCATAAAATAATCAATAAAAATTCCTATCCTTTTTTTTAAAAATGCTCATAGATTCTCAATTGGATTGAGATCCGAACTTTGTGCCGGCCATTTCAAAATAAAAATTTTTTTTTGTATTTAATCAATATTTTATACGATATGTTTAAGAATTCGATCATGTTGAAATATAATACTTTCTTCAGGAAATAGTATATTTTTCATAGTATCTAATAAATTTTTTTCTAAAATATCTTTATACTTATATTGGTTCATTATATCTTCTATCCTTTATGAATTAATGCTGAATATTGTATAGTCTCATAATAGAATCTTCGTATTTGAGAGTTTGCTTTCACGTATCATACTTGCAAAGTGATTCTCCTGCTCGAATCCAGTACCAAGAATGTCTCTTACTATTAATTAATTTTTCTTACTATTAATTAATTAATTTTTAATGTCTCATCCAATAATATAAGACATTTTTAATAAGAAATCATTTAATTTTATTTCTAGTTATATTTCCTAGCAAATGGAAATGTAATTTAATATTTTTCTTTGATAGTATCGATTTTTTTTCTTTTCAATAGTTACAACATTGTTTTTTTTCAACGTTCTTTGTGCTATCCACTTATTTCATTTTCTTCTAATTTCAATATTTCTACTGTCATAGTTACAAATTTGGTTCGCTAGTTTGTAATACATAATTTTATGTTCGATGTTAATTTCGTAGATCTTCCTCCAGAGGATATAATATATCTTTGCAATGTTTTATTTTTAATCATTGAGTAGATTGAGAAAAACAAACATTTTACAACAATTCATCGATAATTCATTGATAATCCTTCATTTATAAGAAAAATAATTTTTCTCATTATATTATGAAAAATTAGCTTTACTTTCATTTTTATATTCTATCTGAATGATAACAGCATTGTATGTTAAGACAATCCTCTTATGTAAACATTTTGATAGGATACACGTAGAATATTTCAGAAATATTCATATTGATAATAAATACTGTGAGCGCATATTGCAATGTGCAAAATCAAGTCAATGTAATATTTATGAGAAATATTCTTTGTCATAAATAAATTAAAAAAAATTGAGAACTCTACAAATTGTTAGCTTAAACTAAAATAAAATAAAGTAAAATATTATTGTGATGTTTATTTTTTCTAACAATTATTGTTTACGATAAAAAATAAAGATTTATACAAATTTCTAATTATTGTATTTAGTTAACTTTTTACTGTATGATATATATCAAATTAAAATATGTTGACGAATAAATATATTGAAATGTTTAAGAATCTATCAGATATATATATATATGTATATATTCGTCGAATTTTAAAACTTGATTTTCTGATGAAAATGAGATTAGAAATAAAAAATTTATAATTTATAAATATAAAAGTAATATATAATTTTTAATTAGCATTTTCTTATTTTTATCGTTGAATTTTAATCTATAGTAATTATAATCCTAATTTATTTATATCTATAGAGTATATCTATAGAACACTTAAAGTTTATTAAAAAAAACTATTATATATGTATATAAATTATTATTTTAATTATTGATAATTACATAATAAAAATAATATTCATTATTATAATAAAGAATCAATTGTGCTAATAATAGTAATAGATTTCTATAAAATTTTTATAATTTTTTTCTAGAATTGAAAAAGAAAATTATATTAAACACATTATAATTATTTAATTTATTATATTAAAATATTTAAAATTTATATATATATTATATATCAATATTTTCAATATTTAAAATTGAAAAAATAGAAATTTAAATTTATATTTTTATGAAAATAAAAAAATTAGAAAAATCGGTATTTATTTTTCTTTTTCCATATAAATATTACAACTAATAAAGAAATTGCGATTATTAATTCGATCTTGTAACTATAATAATAATTCAACATTATTCACTCTTTTAATATTAGTACTCTACCACGTATTTCCTTTATCACTATCAAGTATTTCATCGAAATTACAATCAAATCAAATCCAAATTTCGCGAAATGTTCACATTTGCATCGAAAAGACTCACCCGCCTCGAAACAGTACATCGATCGATTCGGCCGAGTACATCCCTCGTCTGGAATATCCAGCTTGAGCGGTAATAAATCCTTCAGTCCGTATTCTGAGAACACTGGATTCATGCGTAACAATCCTCCATAACCAGCTCGTAGCTTCCTAAAAATGTAAATAAAAAAGTCATGTTTCGATTGTACGAATGCTTTTACAATCACGTGTCCGGCACATGCGTGAAATTATCTTAGTCAAAGATGAAAGTATGATGAATTTAACTGTATCGAAGATGAAAGAGCTCTTGATCTAGGATTTCGATTGGGTAATCATGGATCTCATAATATGCAAGCGGACTAGAAAGTGCACGTATACCACACGTAGACCACACGTTAGGAGATATGTAACAACGTAATGCTGATTTATTGTCTCAACTGATGTAACGTACGACGCAACTTCGAGTCTTTTAAAGCAGATGAGTCGAGTGGTAAGTCGATTGCTCGATTACATTGGACGAGTTTTAGTATTGTTAAGAGATTTGTTTAGGAAAGAATGAATAATGGAATTGCTAGATAAAGAAAAGAAAAATATGAGATAAAAAAATTACTTGAAATTCAAGGATTAGGAGAAATAGTGATACAAATCTTTAATTTGAGAAATTGTTATGAATGAAATTAAATTTCAATAGATTTTATGATCTTTGAATAAATGAATTATATGACTATGATGAAATTTTTTTAATGAATTTTTCTCATTTTTTGAATGAGTTTATATTTTCCATAAAAGCTTTTAATTAGATACTTCTTTCAAATTTAATTGCATTTATATTTATATTGGACAGTAAATGGAAAATATTGGATAAATCATTCGTATGACTAATAAATTTTGTCTCTAATTATCTTTTTCTCTTTGTACCATTTATGTTTTCATTTCTATTCTTTCTATTATAAAATATTTCTTACAAAATTAGAATAGAATTTTATGACAATCAGATATATTTATTCTTGTTAATCACATTTCAAAATACTCTACTATATTATTATATTGCATTAAAATCAAAGCTAATAAAATTAATATATTGTATTACTATATATCATTATAACATTTTAAAGATACGATGTATAAATCTATTTTTTCGAAATTTTATTTTTTGTTCAAAATATTGTTCAAAAATTGTAATATTATAATCTAATTTTATAATTCAATATCATGAAAAGATTTTCATATATAAAAATTATCAAATTATAATAACCAAAGTACCAATCTTCTAACTTTTTAAAGCAATTATATTGAAAGCTTTCAATAAATAAAATTTATTTGCAGAAATAAAAATTTGTAAATTTTAAATCATTTATTTTATTTTTAGTTAATTTTGTACTTTAATTCTATTATAAGAATTCTGTTTTAATAATTATTTCATACCTAACATTAAAATAAAATATAAAACTTTGAATTATATTTTTAATTAATATTATTTAATAAATAAGAAGAATTGAAAGTAAGATAAATATAGAAGTGAAAGCAAATTGTGATTCTTATATAATTAATTATATTATTAATTCATTTTTTTAACAAAAAATTAAGCAAGATAGAAAGTAATTAACTCAAATTCGAAAATTTATTTTTAACAATAATATATCAGTATATGTTAGCGAAAAGAACAAAAAGCAATGTCCACAATCAAGATTAAAACAAAGATCATTTACCTAGCGAATGATTCCGTGATTCCATATACTGTGTTCCCATCGAGCACACCGGTAAGAAGATTGAAAGGCACACGGGAGCCGAGTCGGCATCCAGGTCGAACAGCAGGAAAGGCGCGAACGAAGTCCATGCATTTCACGTTGAATAGTCTGTAGAAATAATCGTCTTCCGGTATAAGAATCTCGTTGCAATAAGGATTCTTCAGGTGCGGTGGCCGATGGCAACATTCCTCCGGGTCGTTTCGGTTCAGAGGATCTACAAGTAGAATAACAGCTCATCGATCGTACGATATGTGGTTTGGCTAACTATTGATCTCCGTTAGAAATATTGGTATTTTATTTAAACTTTGACGTCATTTTTACACGCGTCGTGTACTTTCTCCAATGATAGAGAAATATCATTCGAGACTTTATTCATGAGAAAATTCGAAGGCGTGGAAAATCATCGTAATCCTGGAAATATTATTTACTCGAGGTAAAGTAACATGTAATAACATATGAGAATGATTATAAATTATTAAATTATTATTATTAATTGGATGACGATCGATTTGAACTTTTTTTTCTACTATTATCTTGTTGTTTAAAGTTAAGTAGTTTTAATCTTTATTTATTTGCGATTAGATTTTCCCTTGTTTTATCATATTTAATAGATAATTGTTGTTTATGAGATGAATTGTTTAAGAAAGATTGAAGATCTTTGAAGATTTCAAGTTTGTACTATCGCTAAAAAGAATGTGTATATATACATTATGTAACGTATAATATATATAATTATTCATACATTTTTTGTATATTGAACATTTTTTTTAAATTGAAGTGAATATTTATTCTTATGTTTCTCAATTGTTTTAAGGTAATGAAATACATAAGATACAATAATTCAAATAAATTATATAACATAGAAATACAAAAATTATTCAATTCTAATTTGTTTTTTATTGCAAAATATATTTTATTTGGTGAATTATTTCATGTTCATAAAATTAACTTTATTGATGTTTGATATAATCATTTGATATTTTTCTAATTGAAAAATTTTTATGTTTGATAATGATTGTATGTAATGATAATCAAATATTAAATGAATGACAGAATTACTTAAGAAAACTAAATTACTTTCGACAACCAATTAATGAGAATACATTAAAGAATACATTACATCCTACTATTAATCATATCATCAAAATGTAAGTAATATAAAATTAAATAAAAATTAACATTAATTAATTCATTCATCAATTCTCTTTTTAATAACTATAAAAATAATTTGAAATCCATTATTGGATATGATAAATTTTACTGAAAATTTTTAGAATCATGTTAAAGTGAAATTAGAAAACAATAATTAATCATCAAAATTGTTTCATTAAAAAAAAAAAAAAATAGAGCTAATTTTAATTTTAGTTTTTTAGCGCAATTACAATTTTACTTTCTTTTATTAAAATGATTTATCTAATATTTTGAAAATACTATATATATATAATTAAAAATATACATATATGAACATTAAAATTTTTTTTATTTTTTTTGTTTAAGATAGATCTAATCTGTTCTTTAAATTTTAAAAATTTAAAAAAATTATAAAACAACTTTCAAATATTTTATTTTAAAGCTAAAGAATGTACAAAACACAAAAAATAAAGAAAAAGAATTATTATTTTCATTTTTTCTTTGATTTTCTATCGTAGAAGTAAATCAATTAATTATTCTATAAAATAAAAATTACCATTAATTTTATCAGTAATATTAAAATATTAAATCTAAAATCCTTTGTTTCAATGCATATGATATAATATAGCTGCTGTTGAAAATTTTTATGTCTATCAAACTGAAACTTAAAAACGAATTAATTATCAAAATTATTCCTATAGAAAATTATAACTTTTTTTACACAACTACTATTTTTTTTCATTATGTCTCATCTATCCAAACATTATCTCTGATTTTGTATTAAACTAATTAATTTATAAGATAAAAAATAATTAATTTAAAATAAAAGTCACATTAATATTCATCAGTAATATCAGTAATTACCAAAAAATCTGAAACTTATATAATAATAAATCTCATTTCAATCTATGCAATATATAATATATAATAATAGAACCTATGCTAATGAACGATGCTAAAAATTTTTATAAACCCATTAAAGTGGAATTTAAAAAAGAAAAAATAAAATAAAAAAATGATTAACTACCTTATTTATTGAAACATTATTTCATATTGTGAAAGCAGATCAATTAATTGCTCCTTAAAAATGACTGGTCTCTTATTTCTGCCGCTAATTACCAAGTTTCAGAACAGCTTCGTGTGGACGCGTACAATTTTGGTGTGAATCGCACAGTCTGTGGAAACTTCACGGTAATCACATGATCGGCCTACTGGTTATCTGGACAACGATCGTTCACTTTCTCTGGCAGTTACCCTAGTTTCGATAGACGGTAAATATTCGATGTAGATAAAAGAGCTTAGAAGTTGTCTATGTTTGCTATATATTTACTATATATAAATATTTCGAGAATGCTACTGTAACATGTCGATATTGCATAATTTGTTATTGATTTAAAATTAGGACTCGATTAATTTCTTTATTTTTTGTTGTAAATTCTTGATTATCATTGTTTTTTTATCAAGGATACCATAACTTTTCGCTTTTCGTGTTCAAGCCTTGTTGTATCATTTCGTGAAATCATTATCAAAGATTATCGTTCTCTGAAGAAATTTGCTCCTTGAATCATATATATGATTTATCGTTGTGAGAAACTGGTTTGTTTCTTGTTTTTTGATCTATATTGAGAGGAGTTCGAGATTTCGAGATTTTTTTATATAAAAAAATTATATATAAATTTTATATAAAATTTAAAATTTTATATAAAAAAATACATTTATTATAAGATTATGTAAATCGTATATTATAAAACATATAAATATAAAATATATGAATATTGATTTTTATAAAAATATTTATTTTATAAATTAATGTTATTTATTTTTCTTATATTATCTATATAATATTAATATTATTTATATAATAATTGATATATAAACAATATATAAACAATAAAAATATATAAACATATATAAATTTAATTATATTCTAAATGAAATGATGACATTGAAAGCAGAAAAAATTTGAATAGTTTATTTATAAAAGTATAAAAAGGGTATTCAATAAAATATTGAAACAATATATTATATTATATGATTTGAAAAATTATATGATTTTTTTTATTCAATTTTTTTAAATAAATCATAGCAACTTATTAAAAAATCATGAGAAATCTTTTACATAATATAATTTTATTTAGATAAATCTAAATAAAAATACTATATATTTTCATATATATTTTGAATAATATATATATTTTTATATATCAGTTAAAAATTTGATCTTATTTTAATTGCATAAATATCTATATCTATTTATGAATATTTAAAAATTATTATTTAATTTTGCTTTGATTTTGTTTATTTATCAATTCGCACGATTGAATTTATTTGTGATGTTTTATAAATTACAAGTTGTAATTAACCAATATTAATAAAATCTTTTATGTAACAATAAATCTGGTAATAAGAGAAATCAAATATTATAATTGAATTTTATAAATATATATTATAATTGAATTTTATAAATATATATTTTATAAATAATAAATCATAAATCACTTAATTATCTTATTTTTCATATAAAATTATAAAATTACAAAATAATATCATTAGATTGTAAATTATTGTGTAATCAATAATATTACTAATAAAAAATATTACTTATTCGTTTTCTATTAATATAATAGAATAAATCAAATTATAATAGTTACTTATATTTTTTTTATCATGTTTTAAATTTACTATCAAATAAATTAATGATTAAATTGAATAATTATTAAATCCCTATAATCTAATACTGAATGACTATGACTATGACTACTACTTTATAAGAATGTAATTTACTTTCACATTTTTATTTACGAAACAAACATTCTATCTTATCAATCGAAAATCAATCAATCTTCCTTTGATCTTTGACAATACTACTTATATTATATCATCTAATTAGACAATTATAGTGCTCGTAATCGTACCTAGAGGCGTTCCAGTTAGCGTATAGTCGTGATCCATAAACTGTCCCCAGGCGATGACCATGACTGTGCCAGCATGATCGTGATAACCCTCGTCAGGATGCATAGTGCGTGACACTATGCGTGATAATGGTAAATCATGACTGGTTACCGATATTCTAGGCGCCGTTAAACCGTCCGCGAATCGTGGACTCAGCACTCTACATGGCAGACGAAAATTTACATCATGAAAAATTGATAAATTAGATCAATTAGTGATACTTTACCTTTGGAAGGGCGCTAATGTGGCACCCCATGTTGGATTTTGTAAATTTGTGCACAAGCCATCGTTTCTTCTATATTTACCAGCACGACATTCCACATTACTCAAAAAAGCAGGGCATACTTCGCGAATTAAGGTTTTCGAAGTATCAATTAAGGGTAGACTTTTTTCGATTTCTTCGAAAGTTAGGCCATATCTATACCATAGTAAAAATTTTTTAAATGATTTTTTTATTTAAAAACATTGTAAGTATTAGGAATCTAGAGAAAAATAAATAAGAATAGAAATAAAAATAGATAAAAAATAGAAAAATAAAAATTAAGTGTAATAGATAAAAATATGCAATACTATGCATATTTTTTTTTAAATTTTAATAAATTTTTTTAAATTAGTTTTAAAATTATTAAATAGTTTTAAATTAGTTTAAAAGTTTAATATATTGAATACAGTATTGTAAACATTGAATTTTAACAGTATTCTTTTTTGCAAATGTGACATAATCTTAATTTTTAATACTTAATATTTATTCAAAATACTTTTGGAAACAAAAAAATAAAAAATGAAAATATAATTTATAAATATTTAATTTATAAATATTCATGTCTTACATTTATTAAACTTTAATAAAAACAACTTTGGGTATTGTAATATTCAACTGAATACTATCGCTCAAAGGATCATCCAATTGTGTACAAGTATTTATATTGAATGAGGCTGTACAAGTATTTATATTGAATGAGTAAGTTTAATAGTGATTGATTCTAATTGTTTTTATGGTTGATTGATTGATTGAATTCCGCGGTTTCTAATTGTGATTTAACTGACTTCCGCGATTCCAATAAAAGGCATTGAAGAGAGATTTCAAAGGATGAGAGAATGAAAGATTGCTTCTTCTGTAGTTGTTAACAAAATATTTGGCATGCAAATATAATTTATGAAGTAATCATTTCTATTTTAGTATGTATCTTTTTGAGTAATTATTATTAAGAGTTTTTGAGTAATTATTATTAAAAATTTAGAATAATAAACTATATCTGTTTATTAATTATTGATAAAAAACCTAAACTTGAAAATATTGAAACTATTGCAAAATAAAATTCGAACTATCGAAGTCAGTTATAATTTTTTAATAACATTGAACTATTTGATATCTTTATAAAGTTATGATGAAATCTATTTTTATGTCTATTATTATGAACTGATTTAATTTTCGTTATTCTGTTCTATATCTAACTGAAATAATTTTTTTTAAATTTTTTATATTCTATAAATATCTAGATATAAATATAAATAAAACAATTATTATATATCTAAACATAGTATACACTAAAGTACTACATTATAGTATCTTATAACATAAGTATAAGTATATACTATAAAAGTCAAAAATAAAAAACTTTTAATTTTTACAAAATGGTTATTTAAAATTTAAGAAATTTGATAATATTTTTCAAATATTAAAAATATAAAAAAATAATTTTTTATTAAATTATATTTTTTTCTTCATTAAATAAATTTTTCTTTTCTTTAATATATAGTATAGTATATGTTATATGTTTAATATATAGTATATATTAGTTTTTATCAATTTTATGATCTAATTCACTCCATAGTACATAAATGACAACTTTTATATTTTTTATAAAATTTTTTTTATAAAACTTATTTAAATTTGAAATCTAAATATAAATATAAATTTAAATTTGTAATATTTTTTGATAAATTCAAAATATATATTTCTTTGATTTATTTTATTTTTTAATGATAAAATGATAATAAATAATGAATTAAGAGATTTTTATTTTTATTTTTAATATATATATATATATATATTAGGTATATACAAGGTATATATATAGATATATATATATCAATTTTTGTTTTTGGCATTGTAATATTATATGCAATATATTTTTATAATATTATATATAAATATATAAATTCAATCTAAATTTTTTTACGGATATATGATTATATCTATAGATTAAATAATAATAATAATAAATAATATAAAAAATAAATTAAATAAAATAATTGATAAAAAATAAAAATAAATATTACATAAGAATTGACTAATTCAATTAATTATATTCTATTATTACGTACGAGTATTATCACAAAATATTTAATGTAACTGATTTTGTTATATCATTTGGTTTTAACTTAAAAAAAATTAAATTTTTCTATTTTATATTATTTTATATTATTATATTATTATATTATTTTATTACATTATTTTATATTATTATTATTATTATTATATTATTTATAATTATTATAATTTATTGGAATAAAAAATAATATATATAACATTATCAATTTAATTTAAAAAAAAATGTGATTGAAATGTGATCTTTTTTATTATTTATTTTATTAATTAATTATTTTTATATCTAAAAATCAATAAAATGCTCTTACTTAAACTTTAATTATTTCTAAATTTATATCAAATATTAGAAAATTATCAATATTTTCTTTTTTCTCTGGAAAAAGAGAATAATTTTCATGTCATTCTCGTTATAAACACTTTAATTTTCTTATATTGTAAGGAAATAAATAATATTCATAAAATAATTCACAAAAGAAGAAAGAGAAAATTCTTACGTTTGTACAAGATTTGCACTGATATCCAATAAAAGTTCTCCAACTGTGGCTAAATCCTCTGGTCTCCACATTTTGTTCTTGGGTTGCGCCACATCTATATGAATCAATGCGTATATGAATCAATGAATACTACATATACATATAATCGTTTAGAGTACCGAACTAAAGAGATGCATTAGTTAGGAATGAATGTAAATCAGAAGATATCGTTTCAAGACAATGTGACTATATCATGAAACAAAATTTCACACGAAACGATTGTAAATCATCTCGCGTAAATAATTATGTACTGATTATAATTAAATATTTTTTTCCTCCTATTTCTTTCCCTATTTGCAATACTCACTGATGCGTTTTCTCGCTTCAATATACGCTCGATTCACGGCATCGTAAGTGATGCATGTCTGCGATCCAGCTGTCGGTGGGCTGAAAAATGAAAAAACAGAAAATTAACATGTTGCTCTCGATCCTCAAACGTGATTTTATTATTCGTTCTCTTATCCTTTGATATTTCTTACTTTCACTCTTACAGTCAGTTCGTCTTCTTCTTTCTTTTTTTTTTTCGACTTAATTACCTAACATTCTAGCCTACTTTCGTTGGAAGCAACTAGTTTCAACTCGTTTCAACTCGTGCTGCATTGCTACTTGTTTGCGTACTCGCTGCTAGATATTCGGTATCAAGGTAATCCGAAACTATCATAGTGAAACGTGTACTCGTGAAATGTAGATGAATTGATGTATCTCATTTCGTACTGCGAAATATGATGGCATTGACGTGCCGTTCGTGGCTTTTATCTTCGAAGGTTGACATGCCACTGAATTCTGGTTTTTTTACTTACTTCGGATCTTAATAGATTTCTGATCTTTGTTTAATGAATTAATATACAATTAAGGAAGAGATATTGGAAATTTAATTTTTAGTTAATGAAGTGCATAATTTTGCTTGTACTGTGATTATACCATAATCGTTTCATTATTGATGATGATTGAAATCTTTTATAAGTGTATGAGACTCTTTAAATTTGAATAATTAATATTGAATAAATATTGAATAATATTTATCTTATTTTAAATTGTTTATATATATTTTTGAAAACTTTTCATAATTTCAATATATAAAAAAATAATTGAATAGTTTCGTAAGAGATATATTTTGATATTATTAAATTATTTTCTATAAAGACATAAACGACATATGAATGACAAATTTTTAAATATTTTTTTATGGAATATATTTTTTAATCTATGTAACTCAACATTTCTCATAAAAAAATAATATTAAAATTCATAATTGTAAAATTATTAATTAATCGTATTAATATTATTATAGTTTAGGATATACCTTAATCTAAATTTTTTATTGTTTGGAGATAACATAGTAACATAGAATATTCGTCTATTCATCTATATCTTTGTTAATTTAAAATGTAGAGAATATTTCAATTATAGTTAAATTCTTATGAAAAATCTGTATGATTCTAAAAGAAGATTATTTCACATATATAAGTATTTACAAAATTTTATAAATTTATTGGATAAATAAGATCTTACTTATTTTATTTTCAAAAAAAATATAGTTGAATTATTGACAATAAAATAAATCTTAATAGTTAATTATCTTAATAGTTACAATTTCTTATATAATATATTTTAATATTTTAGAATTAATAAAAATTAATACATTCCACCCAATTTAGTTAAGATATGATTATTTTAATATAATTCAATTTTTATATTAAATAAAATAATCATTCTTCGATAGATATTAATATAACATTCAATTTCTGAATATAATTTTCTAAACTTAATAAATTTCCATTCTTTTTTATTGAAATTTATTTCTTGTTTATCATTCAAAAATTTAAAAAAACGTGATAGATTTTATAACTATTTGTCAAATTAATTTCTTTATCTTTAACTTCTTTTTTACTTAAAATAGCATTCTTTTATGTTTATTAAACGTTTCAAAACAGCAATCATAGAACTTCATTAACATTCTTCTTCATTTATATGGTGTTCGTAAATTGTTTCTTAAAATTTACTTATGACTAGATATATTTTCCCACAGATTATCCTGTCACAATCGCTATTAAATAGAGTAATGGGTACATGTTGAAAGTATTCCCGAGAATGCACTTGAGGGTCGTTCTGAATTTAATTGCAACACAGTGCATTCCCATGCAATTTCATGTTATAGCGGTTGGTCTAATAACCTGTATATTGCTTCGTTTAATAAATTATTATATGTGTCAATTTTCCAAGCCTTGGAAATAGAAATATCGAAAAAAGAAATTTCAATCATTAATAAATTTATACATTATTCATTTGTTATATAATCATAGTAATTTGATCATTATCGGTATTTTTTAAGATATTTTTATTTTTCTAAAACAGTATTTCCTAACACATTTATTACGATTACTAATACATCATGACTTCAAATATATCGTAAAGATTTTATTAAAATTTTATTTTATATATATATATGAAAACATTTAATGTTATTAATATTCAAATAATATTGAAAAATGGAATCTGTAAAAAAATCATTAATGCAATAAAACAATAAAAATTCGTTATTATACTTAAAATTATACGATAATATTTTTTACGATAATATATATTTTTATATTATTGATATTTTTATATGAATATAAAATTTTTATATGAATATTGATATTTTTATATAAATATCATTAAAATATAAATATAAATAAATTATTTTTTCATTTTAAATAAATAATAAATCATAAAAAATATTCAAATGTATTATAATTTCAAATAAATCAAAATTTTCTAATAATTATATTGTATGGTAAAAATCTAAATTGTTGTAAATTAAATAAGCAAATTTACTAATACAACTTAATATTTCTAGTGAATATATATTGAAAATAATATTAATTATAGTTTAATTCAAAAATCCAATATATTTTTTCATCGAAAAGTAAGATTAATTACAATTAAAATGTTAAAATGATTATGATTCATAATATATTTAAAATTTATGTTTGCTAATGGTAGATTATTTTTTTTTTAATGTAATTTTAATTTTTCCAGAAGCTTTATTATATAATGTTACGAATAATTTAGGAAAATCTATATAAAAATACTTGAGATTCTATATCTTTATTGAATATCATTTTTATTATTATTATTATCATAAAATAAATTATATCTATTAAAATTAAAATTATATCTATTAAATATTTTCATAATCAATAAAAATAAAAAAAAATTTATTTATGATTTTAATTTGTAGAATAAAACCAAACACTTGATTTTATTCTATAAATATATATTGATATTGCTTCTGATTTAAATTAACGGTATAAATATTTTTACATTTTTGAAATTTCAATATTATTATTCATAATTGCGTGATATCTAGCGAATATTTTTAAATAAAAACCAAATATTTTTACAAATATCGTTATAATCGTTTGACATATGTTAATTTTTATATCTATCTAGATCATATAAACATATCGTTTATTAAATATGGAAAAAAAATCACAATATTATATAAATTTTTAAATATTATCTAATAAAAATAAACAAATAATGTTAATAAATATCCTTATGTAATTTATTTCTTGACACTCTGGTATAATTTTAATAAATTTCAATAATTTTAAAATGAAATTCAAATACATGAAAATACGAATATTTAAATTTGATACTTATATTCGTATAATTTTAAAAATTTTAATAATTTTAAAATAAAATTCAAATATATGAAAATACGAATATTTAAATTTGATAATAGTGGAACATTTTTTAACAAATTGACGAATACTTATAGTAAAAAACAATTGCCAAATAGTTTTTTAAAACTTTGGAATTTCTAAATTAACTATGAAAATAAATATAATAAATAATTTCATCCTAATATACGATTTGATACAAGTTTCTCCTATTATATTGAAATTTAAAAATATTTGATATACAAGATATTACACACATTCGTAGAATATGTTTGGAGGATAATTTCAGAAAAAAAAAATTAAAGAAATTAAATAAGGAAATAATTTAATAATAATTAAATAATTTGATTAATTAAATAATAATTTGATATTATATATACTGTAATTAGATAAACAAAAATAATGAGTTAATAGTTTGCAATAATGTGATGAAGATAAAGATATCTTATTCAATTTTTATTTTACATTATTTCAAATTTAAATTATTCATAATTTAAATCTCAACTTACAAATTTTATATTTGTTTTGGTTTTTAGAATTATATTTAAAAAACTTAATATATAATATACTATAAATACATTCAAATTTGATATAGAAACATAATATATTATAACGCATAATTTGCATTATTATAATAAAATAATTAATAAAGCATTATTTAAGTTATATTAAAATTAAATATTTTTAAATTAATATTATTTTAAATTATCACATAAAAATTATCACATATATTTAATGATACATATATTATATAAATACTACATTCTAAATATTACTTTTGAAAAATCATTTTATTAATTAACTCATTTTATATGCAATAATCTCATAGTTTGAAATATATCGCTAATCTAAAAAGATGAATTGGAAAATATTATTTATTTATATATTGACTGAAAAAATTTTTTGAGGAAAATGTATCGTTTCAAGATAGTTTTATTGCGATCGTGATGGCACGTACGCACATTGAGTTAAAATAATCTCTGCATATTCACCTGGTTATACTGGAGTTATAAAAGGAAAAGTCACATTTAAAACGCGTTTTCCTCATTCAATCGCGTACATGGACTACATTTCGTATAATTCATAACAAAATTTGCCGAAATCAATTTTAAAGCGGATAATATTGAATTTATATATGATATATTCGACTCATATTATGATATATATTAAAGATATATTCGACTCATATTTTGTATATTTATATGAATTATATATTATATGAAGTGTCACTAGGTATTGCTGTTTAGATTCTATTCTGTCTTTTCTTCTTTTTGAATCACTGTACGACATAATGAGTTCAATGTAGTAGAATAAAAGCATTGGCATGACCCACATTTATATAACATAGTTTATTTTATTTATTTCTATTTTAATATATTATTTTTTATTGTATATTCTTTATTTTATCAAATCATTTCATAACATAATATTCTCTAGATAGAAAGTAAATATTTCTAATTGGGATTTAACAGATTCATTCTAATGATATACCGGTATATAAATATCCATTGATAACGATATTAAGGTAGTTTTCGATGACATATTATATTTTGTTTAAAATATTTTCGTTTTCGAATGACAATTAAAAAATAATTATTTTTGTCAATATTCTGTTTAGATTTTTAAATGTTTCTTTATTTGGATTCTTTTTTTATATTTACTAAAATAATTTAAGAATATTTATTAATATTTATTTAATAGTTTAAGATTTGTAATAGTAGAAATATATAACGAACGCGTTATGAAAATAAAACAACCATATCGAGTAGTATTATACGATTTTCACCAATTAAATTTAGTCAAATGCTTGCAATTCTAAGTTTTTTAATTCAAATCCATGATTTTTTTTTTTTCTTAATCAAGAACCATCGTCATTTTGTTGAGTCTGAATAACATTCAAAAAATTATAAC